CTTAAAAAAAAAAAAAAAAAAAAAATTCTAAAAAAAAAAAAAAAAAAAACATTAAAGATGAAAAAATATATATTTATATGTTTGAATTATGCTTTTATTACAGAGGTTCCTTTGGCTCCTGGAGTTCCATCTTCTCCTGGTGGTCCAGGTGCTCCCTATATATAAAATTAACATACAACAAAAGATAACAGTATCTTAAATATATATACAGAAAGAGACACACAAAAAACTGATATCATAATACTCACATCTTTACCAGGAAGCCCAACTGGACCAGTCAGTCCTACAGTGCCAATTTCACCCTGTAAAAGAGAGAGCCATCGCATCTCATGCATCACTGTTTTCAAATTTAAATGAGATTCAGCATATATTATTTTTCATGTAAATTAAGTTTTACCTTTTGGCCTGCAGGCCCCACGAGTCCCTGTTTTCCTGGTAAACCCTGAATTTGAGATGCAGCATTGTTTAGCCAAGGTGAGTTGCAGATTACAAATGAATAAAAATCTCTTTACTTGTTTGGTGCATAGTAGGCAAACCCTCATTTACTGTATTTGCATTCAGAGTAACAGCAACAGCTTTGAGAATCATTTGAGGAAAAGCACACCAGAATAGCACATAATAAAACATATGCACAAGCTGATTAACTCACTGGAATTCCCACAATTCCTCTGACACCAATGGCTCCGGACAGACCTGGCTCTCCCTGTCGAGCAGACAGCAAAATCACAAATGCGTCTTCATTTTTTATCATTCAACAAGCCAGATTTAAGAATCATCATTTTGTGTCAAAGCAATATGCATTTTAATAATCAAATTGGTATAATTCAGCATAATAAAAACTGGAAATACATTGCAGAGCACCAGGTACAAACATATATTCAGATTTTTATGCATTATAAAAATCATGATCATAACTCACCTTCTCTCCTGGAGAGCCTGGTGCTCCATCAGATCCATGCTTTCCTGGCTCACCCTACAGATTAACAATCTTTATCATCATCATTACATTTCTTCCAGTAACATTTCATAATTATTACAGTGACGTTGAATATGAAGGTCATTTTGAGCATACATCTGATCAGTCACTCACAGTGTCACCCTTGGCTCCAGGAGCTCCTTTCTCTCCCGGGGCTCCAATCGCACCCTAAAACAACACATTAGAATTCTTCAGAAAGAATCAGTGTACTTTAAATGATTTTACAGATTTTTTTATTGCATTGTGTTTTTGATTAGGGTAGATCATATGGACAACAATAACTTACATCATCTCCTTTAGGCCCAGGATGTCCCTGTCGCCCTCTGATGCCTTCAACACCCTGTTAAGACACACAAATATTATTATTTTTGAATATTATATTAAACTGTATAGATCACAAAACTAAATATATAATTTATTATCATTAATACATTTTGTATTTATTATTCCTTATTTATAAATATAGAATGTATTATCTGTACAACTGTTAGCTCCGGCTTTTGTGCAAAACTACATATCGTGCATAGCATACTGCATTTTTGCATATGGATAGTCTAATCGAGCCCATTGCATTATGAGTGTTGAAGTTTTGCTAACCTTTTTCATCTCAGCCCCTCTGAGACTCTGTTTTGTCTCAGTTTTTTTCTGGCACTATTTTTTTTATTTGTGTTTTTACTGTATAGACAGCCACCTTTTATTAAAACCCCATTTTACCAGCAGTGATTTACCCCCATTAACTTTAATTTTATGCTTATTAATGCTAAAAAAATATTTATTAATTTGTTTTATTATTGTATTAATAACAACAACAACTAGATTGAAAAGTTTGTAGACAGACTTTAAGTTTGCTTGAAAAAGCTTAGCTAGAAAGTTTGAAAAAAAGTTTTCAGTTTGAAATAGCTTGAAAGTTAAAATAGTTTTAAAGATTACATTTTGAATGTTTTCAAGGCAAAACAGTCTATCAGAAAACCAGATAGGCATAAAACATTGCTAGGGGGTACCTGGGGTGGTTGCTAGGCTGCTTCTAGCATGACTAGCAGGTTGCTAACATGTTTTTTTTTAGCATGATTAGCATGTTACTAGCATGTTGCTAGCATGATTCTAGCAGGATTGGCATGTTACTAGCATGGTGTTAGCATTTTGTTAGCATGATTAGCAAGTTACTAGCATGTTTCTAACATGATTAGTAAGTTACTAGCATGTTGTTAGCATGTTTCTATGCTAATCCAGCTAAAACAAGTTGATTCAGTGAAAAACCAGCTTAAAACCAGCTTGGGAGACCAGCCAAAGCAGCCAATCAGCTTAGGCTGGTTTTAGCAATTTTTTTTTTCTTCAGTAGGAAGTTGTTAAGCTTTGCTATAGCAATAGACAGCTTAAATACACCATAAGTCTTGTTGTATAAAAGTTTGATGAAAGTCTTTGGGATTTTAGGTGGTTTTGATAGTCTGGTTTACAAAAACTGTAAGCCGGATCAGTTAGAAAAGATATAGCAACCCGAGTCAGACCAGTCTGAAGGTCTGACCCGAGTTTGGTTGTTGTAGCTTTAAAAGTCTAGGAGACTTTAAAAAGTCTCATTTAAAAATTTGGTCTCAGACTCAGACTCGGACTCGGACACAGGAGAAGGAGAAGGAGAAGGAGAAGAAGAAGTTTAAATAGGATTTCAGTTACTTTTTCAAGCCAAATTAACAATAATAATAATTATTCTTAAAATGATTTATATTGGATTACCTACCTAAAAATAACTTGAACTCGTCTTAAAATCTTGTTTTATAACCTACAAGCTCTCTTGAACTACATTTCCACTAGGCTGATTTGCTGTACATTCTTTTCCCATAAATATCAGATGAAGATTTAAATCCTCTGTACTTTGATACCAGACTTTAGGATTAGAGAAATCTTACCTTTTCACCTTGGGTACCTGGCACACCGTCCACACCTGGAAGACCTCGATGTCCCTGGCACAGAGATTCAGTTAGTAATACACTCATTGATTAGAGAAGTAGTTGGTGTTTAACCAAAGGAACATTCTTTAGCTAGCAAAATGTATAGCTACTCCAGAAAGCACATTTAGTCTTTCTGCAACAAGAAGTAAATGGAATCTATAAAGAAACGTCATTGCTCATTTTAAATTTGTTGTTAATTTTTTTTATTTAAAGCAATACTTCATTGTCTTACATTTTTATATTTTTGGAATTTAAAAAAAAACATTTTAACTCTTGTTTTATGAGCCAAAGTTAGGGTCGGGGACTCACCTTCATCCCCGGCAGACCAGGCATTCCCTGCGGTCCAGCTGGACATGTTGTCTGGCACTGCTAACAAAATGAGACACACAAATACATTAGGTCTATTCATCATCAACTGTAGGACCAGACAGGAAGTGAAGAATAACACACAACCAGCCTGTAGCTCACCAGAGACATACAAACCAAGTACTGAAGATTTAAGATGAGGGAGCACAACAGACACTGCAGCCAACTGTCAACTCTTTTCATGAGCAAATGACAAATTATTATGGCTGGGTATTGAGATATATTTCACAGTTTGATTACATTTCTATGCACAAGCTTGCGATTCAATTCAGCTGTGAATCATTTAGATATATTGTCAATCATGTACAGTACAGGTTATTTTTTTTTCAAGGGGAAAAAAACCCCCTCTCAACTAATGCTATAATACAATAATTACATTACTACATTAGTACATTTCTATATTAAAGTGATTTGTAAAGAAACATTTAAAGGAAGGAAGTTTTTATATATTTAAAATACATATATTGTAACTTTTTAAGGATTATTACTTTTCAACTCCGGTTTGTTGTTGAAATGTAAATATTTAAACAGTGGATGTCATAACTTGTTTTGATTATGGATATATTTAAACACAGATTAAATACTGAAGAACAGGTTAAGTAAAAATAGAACTAACTATTCTAACTATTGAGTTTAATAACATTTCGTGACGTTATACTGTTTCTTTCAACATACCCTCTGATGTTTTTTCATGTTATTTTGGTGCTATAATTAGAAGTAAAGAGGAAGAGATGATCGGTTCACATGCCGCTTGAAGTGAGGCAGCTACAGTGATCTGTTATGCCACATTAAAGAGTGCCAAAATGCTATTTACTGTTTGAATTTTGTAATACAATTGACAGAATTAGAAAGCTGAGACTTTGTTTCATATCAAAACTGACAAAGCAAAAAGCATGTTGGGATTTAGTGGATGGGAGGAGCGCTACAAATAACGTTTCATTAAGTTTTGTTCACGCATCCAATGAAAACAGCATAGATCGATTTAAGAATCGATATCGGTTCATCAAAATCGAGAATTCAATATTTTCTACCCAGCCCTGCAAATTATAGAGCAGATATAGAGCACTTTGACATTTTTCAAGTTCTATATGTCGCATACTGAATCTCTTTGTGTTGTAAGATCTAGGCCTTTGCCAGAACTTAGGGGAAAATAATTTTTTCATAGTACTGAACATTTCTTGAATGATGATGTGCAGGTTCTGCATGTCCATGTGAAACATTAATATTATTAAAATCTAACAAGCACTCACAGTCTCCCCACTTCCCTCAGGGTTCCCAGCGCCTTGTGGCCCCTACGGACAGCAGAATGACAGAAGTGTAGTTTAGATTCAGACACACGCCCCTTTTAAAAGCCTCAAACGTTACAGCGTTCAGAACAGATCTGTGTGAAAGCTCTGCATTAGTTCTAAACCATCTGAAAACCAACAGAAGTCACCTGACCCAGTTAAAGTAAGGGTTAACAGAAAGGACGAAAAGACTCAAAATGTCTTGGAATGTATAAAAACAAAAAGTGAATTTGAATATATAAGAGATAGTCAATTAGCAGAACTTCAAAAGCCAAAATTGGAGTTATGTATCTGTTTGGGAACTTACATGCTAATGTACTGCTTAAAGTTGATAAAATGAACATCTAGCAGACATATGGTTTTGAAATGTAGTCTAATACAAAACGTGTACAAAGTCCTTCCTGCAATATCACTTTTGTGAGACAAAAACAGATTTCATTTGATCTATTTTCAGTGTCACAAGCTGCCTAGTAAAAATTATTGATGGAAAGAAAAAAATACAAATTTGTCAAGATAGATGCTGAAATGTGTTCAAAATGTTATCTTGATATCTCATGGGGTAAACAGGTTGTAAATAACAAATAATTGTAAAAATAACTGCATAGTCCAGTGTTAATTTTTTTTTTATTTAGTTCAGTTAAAACAATTATTTTCTGCATTTTTACTGTTAATTTTATCAAAAAAACTACACTGCATTTCTACATTGTCCAAATGTCTACCTTTTTTTTATTTAATTTTTTTACAAATCATACCCCATGTATATATACATGCATTATACTACACATATATAGGCACATATTTTGATGCAAATGAAAGCTAAATATGTAGACTAAACTGAATTAAGCCCATTACAGTAGTCGTTTCTTGTAAGTTAGTAAGAAATCATTTGACATATGTAAAATGCTAAATATGAAGCTGGTCTTACTGGTGATCCTGGAGGTCCTGGTGGGCCTGGGAGCCCAATTCCTCCTCTTGGTCCAGGAAGACCCTGGGAAATTGAATACCATAAAGAACATTTCAATTGAGCTAACAAAATCATTCAACATAACTATGACAACAAGAGTTACATTAAGTATGAAAACTAAATATAATGCCAAATACACAGCAAAGGTGGAACAGAAGCACTTCTAAAGGCATTTAGGTGTCTTTACACAGACTGTTTAGTGCTGCTCTGAGGTGGCATAAATGCATTTACACAGCAATGATAACCATACACTTTGACACTAAGGGCTGAAGTGGGTCAGAACAGGCATAATTTAGTCTGGCTTTTATGGAGCATTACAGTGGGGAAAATATTTATTTGATCCCCTGCTGATTTTGTAAGTTTGCCCACTTACAAAAAAATGAAGGGTCTGTAATTTTTATGGTAGGTTTATTTTAATGGATAGAGACAGAATACCAACCCAAAAAATCCAGAAAATACACATTATATAAAGGTTAGAAAATGATTTGCATTTCAGTGAGTGAAATAAGTATTTGATCCCCAAGCA